CTGGGTCACTGGGCCTGGCAGTGGGGCAGGATGGCAGCTGGGAGGGCCATAAAGGAGGGAGGGTTTTAGCTTCCTGGGTCACTGGCAGCTGGACATTCCAGGCAGTTTGCAGCTGAACACAGCTGGGTCCCACTTCCCCACTGGGTGGTTTATTGGTGCTACTTTAAACTAATTTCACAGGGGCATGGGAACCAGCAGGGAATGTCTGAGGGGAATATCAGGGTGCACAATATTGCAGAAGAGACACAGCACACTAGAAAAGATCATAGATGGGGTCAGAGTCATGGGGAAAGTAATTGCATGTAAATCAGGGTTATTGTGCATGTATGTGGATGCACAGAGTATGGAGCGAGTTACAGTGTAGATTGCCAGGAGGAACATGTAATGTTGTGGTTGTAATGGAGAACTGCATCAAGGAAGGGCAGGAGTTGCTGTTAAAGGATGGGGTTGACGAGGGTCGAATGGACCATGTCTTTTTATTTTGGAAAATAAAAAGTGGACTGAAAGAAGACAGAGCAGTTTTAAACCCAGTGTGGGAAAGGTGGCTGTCTATTTGAAAGCAAGTAACCTGGCCCCCATTGCAGGTATCATGTAAACACTTGTCTAACAAACACTGATAGGAGTTTATAAGATTGTGAATGGCATGGATAGAGTGGAAAGTATGAGGATTTTTCCCAGGGTGGAGGGGTCAATTACTCAGGGACACAGGTTCAAGGTGTGAAGGAGGGGGTTTAAAAGAGATGTGTGAGGCAGGTTTTTCACAGAAAGGGTGGTAAGTGCCTGGAACGCGCTGCCAGAGGAAGTGGTTGAAGGAGACATAATAGCAGCGTTCAAGAAGCACCTGGACAAATACATGAATAGGAAGGAAATAGAGGGATACAGATACTATAAGTGAAGACAGTTTTAGTATGGAAGGGCAAAATGGGACAAAATGTTGACACAATCTTGGAGGGCCGAAGGGCCTGTTCCTGTGTTGTATTGTTCTTTGTTCCCTTATTGGGAGTAGAAGTACCAGACAGCCTGGGGTGAGGAGGGTACTCATGTCAGCTCATGTTGGCAGCAACAGGTTGATTGGTCTGTGGCCTGGTGTTGTCTGGTGACAGTTCTCAATCACCTGGGAGGTGTGGGGAGTGTGTGTGTGTCAGAGGGAGCTGTGTGTGTGTGTGTATGTGTGTGTGCGCGCGCACACATTGGGGTGGGGGGTGCTGTCTGTCTTCAATATGCTCAGTGCCTCCAGGCTAGGCAATATCCAGGTGATTCTCCTGTGCAACATGCAATCACATCCCTCCTATATTGGAGACCAGAACTGTACACAGTACTCCAGTTGTGGCCTAACATTGACAGCAGCTCTATTATAACCTCCATGATCTTGCATTCAATGCCTCAAACAATAAAGACAAGTATCTCATCTGCCATCTGAAGCATCCTATCAACCTGCCCTGCTGTCTTCAAGGATCTATGCAAGGTCCTTCTGATCCTCCGTACTTCCTATAGGACTACCAATCATTATGCTCTTCCTTGCCTCGTTAGTCTTCCCAAAATGCATCACCTCACACTTTTCAGGATCAAATTCCATTTGCCATGTTTAGCCCATCTGACCAGCCCATCTATATCCTTGTGTAGTCTAAGGCTTTCCTCTCTGCTATTTAACACAGCACCAGTTCTCATTTCGTCTGTGAATGATATGAAGCTTGGACAACACTAAACTTGGAAGAATTGTAAACAGTGAGCAGGACAGCGAACAACTCTGAGAAGTTAGAGCATTGGGGAATAGATGGTAGATGAGGTTCAATGCAATGAAGTGTGAGCTGATGCATTCTGGTTGGAAGAACATTGAAAGACAATATAAAAAAGGGGAGGGGGGTGGTGCAGGAGCAGAGGGGGCAGGGTATGTATAGATCAGTGAATATAGCAGGACAGGTAGAGAGAGCATGCAGTGTCCTTGACTTTATGAATAGGGTCAGAGAGTATAACAGCAAGATGGTGATGTTGAACATGAGACAAAAGCACCAAAGAAACTGCGGATGCTGGAGATCAGAAACAAAAACAGAAATTGCTGGAACAGTTTAGCAACATCTGTGGAGAGGCATCAGAGTTAACGTTTCAGGTCCAGTGACCCTTCCTCAGAATTAAGATGTTAAACTTGTACAAGATACTTGATAGTCGTCAGCTGGGTAATGTGTCCTGTTGTAGGTGTCACTTTAAAGGAAAACCATCAGGCAGAAGATACAGAGGCCTGAACACACGCACAAGCAGGTTCGGGAACAGCTTCTTTCCAGCCGTCATCAGACTGTTGAATGTACTCTAGTCTCAAATAATGGAACCTGTATGCCTCTAAGTCCTTTTGATTTGTACATCCTTTGCTAGCAGTGATCTGCCTGCACTGCTTGTAAACAAAGCTTTTCACTGCATTTGGGTACACGTGACAATAAGATCAATCACAAAAGATGTGAATGTATTGGAGCGAGAGACAGTGCAGAAGAAGTTTACAAGAATGGTTCCAGGGATGAGGAACTTCAGTGATGAAAAGAGATCAAAGAGGTTGGGAATGTTGACATGAGAGAAGAGAGAGCTGAGAGGAAATTTCACAGACGTTTTCGAATCTGTGAGGGGGGTAGACAGATGAAATAGGGAAAGAATGTTTCCCACTAGTGAAGTGATCAAGAATGAGAGGACACAGAGTTAAAGCAATAGCTAAAAGAAGCAAACGTGGCCAGAGGAAAAGCTTTGCCCACTGGGAATGGTTTGCATTGCATGAGAATGAGGCAGAAGCAAGTTCAATCAATGTCTTCAATAAGGAATGAGATGATTAGTTGAAAATAAAGAAAGTGCAGAGTTCCAACAAGAAGACAGGAAACTGGCACCGAAACAGATGCTCATTCAGACAGGTGGTACAGGCTTGAGGGGCTGAATGGCCACCTACGTTATATCATTATATACATTTATATTAGGGACCACATAGTGGCTCAGTGGTTAGCACTGTTGCCTCACAGCACCAGGGACCTGGGTTCAATCCCACCCTTGGGTGACTCTGTCTGTGTGGAGTTTGCACATTCTCCCCGTGTCTGTGTGGGTTTCCTCCGGGTGCTCCGGTTTCCTCCCACAGTAGGGTGGATTGGCCATGGAAATTGTCCCATGGTGCCCAGATATTGGCAGTTTAGGTGGATTAGCCATGGGAAATGTAGGGTTTTGTGGATAGTTAGGAGGTGGGCCTGGGTGGGATGCACTTCGGAGGATCAGTGTGGACTCAATGGGCCGAATGGCCTGCTTCCACACTGTAGGGATTCTATCAATTCTGTGAAATTTTTGCTCATCGAGAGCAGAGTTCAACCACAGAGTAACAATCACAGTTGTACAGTAACTTTCACCTTCACAGCGTGACACTCTCACAAAGTAACAGTACAATAATGCACATTCCTCCAGGCTCTTCACCATCCCTATTGTGAGGAAGCTCCCTGTAATTGCTCCAGGAGACCATGATATCCCAGTTACATGGTGCCCACCCCTGAGGGCATACCTGGGATTTTTTGGCTCAGGTGGTCCATTTCCTTGCAGTTTCTTGACCAGCATCTCGCTGCTACGCTTCAGAACATCGCGAATTTTACCAAGGGAGCCACTCCGTCTCAGTGTCCCACTCCCGTCCTGCAGTGTGTGAATAGAGACAGTTAAACAAAGTCTTCAACACTCCATTCTTCTGACCATATCTCTCTCTCTGACCCCAGTCCCTCTGTCTGTCTCTCTCTCTCTCTCTGACCCCAGTCCCTCTGTCAGTCTCTCTCTCTCTCTCTGACCCCAGTCCCTCTGTTAGT